AGAATGCCTTGAAGTAAAACAAAGGAAAGGCAGCTATCTCTTCTGGAGAGGAAATGGCCATTTATTCAGTTTAGAATGAACCAAGAGGAGTAGAATTTGCCACCCTAGAATATGTCTGTTTGACATGGGGATTATTTTAAACTGGTTAATTTTTAAGAAAGAGTTGACATAGGTGAGGCTTTGAAAATAGAGCAGAAGTTACCCTTTTGTTAGAGATATTTACTTGCATAAGCGAAATCTCCACTTGTAAGTGTGTCTCCCTTGCTGTACCAGGATAAAGGGGATGCGTCAATCTCTAGAAACTCTTATCAAAGAAGAAGGCAATGACTTTAATCTACACAACAAACTTACTCTTACTTACTGCTTTTCCTGGTTACCTCCTAGAACTGACTCCTCACCTCAACATCTCTTGTCTTTAGCTAAAAATAGTATTTAAGATGATGGCCATTTTGGGGAGTTACTCAGTTTTCTTGAGTCTCTTCCAGGTATACAAGAGATATACATGTTACTAAATATTTGTTTCTTTTCCCCCTGTTACTCTGTCATATATCAATTAAATTATTAGATCTGTTGCTGTAATATATCAATTAAATTATGAGACCAGCCAAAGAACCTAGAAGGGAAGATGGGAAAACTTTTCTGCCCCTACATTAATCCTGTATAGTGTTAAACTTCAAGTGAACAGAATGTGCTGCTAAAAAGAATAAGCCAATAGAAACAAAAGAGAGTCTGTGGAGCACAAGAAAGATAGAGAAGAGTGCATGTTCAGGTCAGTGTAGAGATAGATGGTACCACCTGGGAAGTTCCATTTGGTGATGTCCCAGGTGTCTGTTTCATATTTTTATGCTTCTATTTTTAACATTTAAGTCAACAACATTGATGGAGACAAGTACAGGTGATCAAATTTGTGTATAATCAAGGCATAGAACCGAAAGAGCTGAATAAGAACAGACAGAATTGAAATTTCAAATAAACATTTCTTGACCAAAGATAACCAACTAAATGCAGTGTGACATGCACAAATGTGAATTCTTATAAATAGAATAACAATTCAGTTTCAGGGGCGCCTAGCTAGCTCAGTCGGTTCAGTGTCCAGATTTGACTCAGGTCATGACCTCGTGGTTTGTGAGATCAAGCTGGGCTCTGTGCTGACAGCTCAGGGCTTAGAGCCTGCTTTGGATTCTGTGTCTTCTCTCTCTGCCCCTCCCTTGCTCACACTCTGTCTCTCTCTCTCTCTCTCTCAAAAATAAATAAACATTAAAAAAATTCAGTTTCGTAAGTGGCCTGGATAGTTCAAATAGAACCATTATTGGAATAGTCATTGGTATAAATGATTGGAGTTATGTGAGACAAAGCATGATGGAGAAACTATATATTTAATCTCAATATTGTGGCTAGTTCTAACACCTACTATTTATTAGGCACTATGGGCAAGCCACTTACCCTTGGTTTTCTTATATTTAAGTTGAAATTAGTAACATAATGTAAGAGAGTATTGTAAGTATAAAATGAGATAATTCATATGAAAATAATTATATGAATGATAGCTTTAATTTTGCAAATGCAGAAAAAGCTAATGCAACATTAAATTGTTTTAGCAAATGTAGACTATCCAGGCCTACTGAAGCATAAGTCATGGTGGGCAACTGTTAGACCAATTGATCATAAATCCTTCAAAGGGATTCATCCCCATTGTCTACAGCAGTACCAACACCTCTTTGGTTCTCAAAAAATATATATGTTGTAAAAAGAAATTGGCTTGGAATATTGGATTTTGTGTGAGTTATATTTTAAGAGAGAAAGTGATATTTCAGACTGAATCTAAAGGAAGGATGAAGAGACATTTAAAGACTATTATATGAAGATTAAAACAATTGAGTATATGTAGCTGGGAAAAGATATCTTTATAACCAAATGTTAAGGAAAACAAAAACAAAAACAAAAATGCGGTGTATATTGGTAACTTTCCTGTGAACACAGTTATCAGGAACAATGAAGGAGGCGGAAGAGGTTAGTGGCTAAAGGCAGACCATGCTTTTGTCTCTCAACACTTCAGCAAGATTATTAAGTGTGCAGGCTCAGAAATCTTATAGACCTTCACTTTTGTGCTTTTCCCATTACCTGTGTTCCCCTGGACAAATTGTTCATTCCAAAATTCAACTTCTTCATATGTCCATGAGGATAATCATAATACCTACTGAAGGAGCTCAGGACAGACCCTGTTCTCCCAAAGTGCCACTTGGGCATGTGGATTACTTTGAGCAGAAGGCACTTGAGACCCTATAGGCTCAAGAGAAACTTTTGTCCTCCCTTTACCTTAGAGAAGAATCTAAATTGAAGGCTTTTTCAGAATAAGGTTTATTAACAGAGATAAATTTGATCTGAGTGACCCATCTGAATGGTAGAGCAAGCATCTACTCTTATAATTGCCTTGTCAAGTGCATACCTTTCCTTTAAAGTCCCAGAACCCCACCCGCGTCTTCTTAGTTCAGAATGACATGTTTACCTTATTTTCCCTGACTGTCTTTGGAATTTCTATGTCTATGTGGATTCCTCAGGAATGTCTATTACATTTGATTTTCTCCTGTTACTCTGCCTTATGTCAATTTGATGCTTAGTCCAGTTAGAGCGACTTTTGAGGGAACAGGAAGTCTTGCTCCCCAAAATTGCTTTTTAGGATTATGAAGAAAAAAATATAAGACGATGCATGGACAGTTACTTTTCCATTGCTGGAAACGTGCCAAAAATAGGTTAATTACGCACCCTGCCCATGTTGCAAGGCTGCCACTAAGGGGTGCCAGAAAACCTTTTGGAAAAATTCAGCACCCTCCAAGCTGGGCATGGGGCAACGAGTCTTAAATTTTGTTTTTACTTGTCAGCACTAAATATATTAGGTGATCTTAGAAAGATTATGTGTAAACATAGAACTTAAGGAATAAACTATTTTCAAAATTGGTCCTTGATGGTAGAGTAATGAAGAGGCGAAGCTTCCTTGGGAGTGGGTGTGGCATCTCCCAGCATCCTTTGCAGTGCCTCCTCCCTTTGGCAATCCAGTCTGTTGGTAATCAAGACCCTCACGTGGCCTCACTCACTCGGGATATTTTGCATACTGTATATTTCACACTGCAGAGATTATTTGTCTTCTTTGGGTTGAGAAAATTGTTTCTCTATTGGATATAGTTTTGAAAGGTTTGAAATGTGATATTGTTAAAGGCTTCTGGAAATTATATACTTAACCATTTTATATCTAATAAGGTTTAATTAATTCAAATTTTACTCTAACTTTTGTAACCCATAGGAAAGTATCTCTAATTCTGAAATGTTAAACACTGGCAACTGGGATTAGGATAGCAGGAAAAATATTTTGGGGCAGAAAGAAACCTCCTTGGAATTCATCAAGTCATATTTTTGACAGATCACTTAAAAATAACTCTCACAGCTTCTATCACCAAATTGATGATAATCAAATAAGGGACATCTGGCTTTTTCACTTTTTTTGAAGTTTATTTTTTGTTTATTTTGAGAGAGAGCAAGCAGGGGAGGGACAGAGAGAGTGGGAGACAGAATCCAAAGCAGGCTCTGCACTGTCAGCACAGAGTCAGATGCAGGGCTTGAACTCAGGAACCCATGAGATCGTGACCTGAGCCGACCGAAGTCAACGGTTGACCACTTAACTGACTGAACTGCCCAGGCGCCCCTGGGCATTTGGCTTTTTGGTATTAAGTCCTAAATCAGGTAATAAGACACTGACAAATTTACTACTAAATATAAATTTGTTAGAACTTCACATTTCTTCTTTAGGTTAAAAAAATATCTACCTGGAGCCGGGGGGAAACCCAAATGGAACCTAGAGTGAACAAAAATAATACAATTCCTGGTTAAGACAGGAATGACCACCTTGTTATATCACCCTTTCAGGAAAAGCTATAATGTTTCTTTCTTTCCTTCTTTCTTTCTTTCTTTCTTTCTTTCTTTCTTTCTTTCTTTCTTTCTTTCTTTCTTTTCTTTTCTTTTCTTTTCTTTTCTTTCTCTCTTTCTCTCTTTCTCTCTTTCTCTCTCTCTTTCTTTCTTTCTTTCTTTCTTTCTTTCTTTCTTTCTTTCTTTCTTTCTTTTTTGTTAATTATCTTAGAGAGAGGTGAGGGCAAGCAGCACAAGGAGGGAAAGACAGAATATTAAGCAGACTCCATGTTCAGCATGGAGCTTGACACTGGGCTCAAAGTGGGGCTCAATACCACGACCCTGGGATCATGACTTGAGTCAAAATCAGGAGTCTGGCACTCAACTAACTGAACCAGTTCCAGGAGAAGCTGTTTCTAACGATCAGTTGTTAGTAAGAAATGAATGTGATTCAAACTGTTTTTCCAGTTTCCTCTCTGCAAGTTACCTGTTTTATATAAGGATCAACATCTCCACCATTAGCTTTGATTATGTTCACATAGGTGAATGAAATGATTTTTATTTGATATTTGTGCAATTTGCTTGCTAAATCATAAGATTCATTGGAGACTCCTGTTAAGAAACAGTTTCCCCTTCTCAGAAGATTTTGTTTTAGAAAGTCTGGGTTGGTGTTAAGTATCCTTAAAAACCCTCTAGGTGTGTCTTATATGCATTTGAGAAACCCAAGGTTAAAAATTCCATTTGGGCATAAAATTTAGTTTGAACTTGCAAAACATATGTGCTAGATGTCTGTGCCTTCTCCCTAATTGGTCATCTTGCAGACAGAGCCCTTTGGTTGATCGCTGCTAATGTCAGAATCTGCTTTTATTTTTATTTATTTCATTAGGCAGAGAGAGAGAGAGAGAGAGAGAATCGTAAGCAGGCTCCATGCTCAGCATGGAGTCTGATGTGGGGATTGATCACATGACCCTGGGCTCATGCATGACCTGAGCCAAAATCAAGAGGTGGTCACTCAACTGACTGAGTCACCCAACTGCACCTTGGAGTCTACTTTACTAATGTAGCAGCACAATGTGTTCAAAAAACACAAAAATGTCACTTACTTTGAACCTCCACAGCCCTCCAATATCTTCAGTCCTCTCAAAGCAAGTGGGTTCCAGTCCCTCATCCACACAGCACTTCAGTGAGACCAGGCCACTGACTCCGGCTCCAATCACTGCCACCTTCTTTGCCATGGTCTCCTGTCGAGGAGCTGATCAACGCTGCTTCACTGGTAAGAGAGTCCTCGTGGTGTGGTCAGTAATCAGCTTTCAGTGCAGTAGAAGTGACAATATCCTAAGCAGCACTAATTGAACAAAATTCTTCATGAGTCAAATTCCAGACTCCTCCTCCCCTTCCCGGTAAGAAACCAAGCTGTTTCCCTGGAGCTGGCTGCAGAGTCTGTCTGGGTCTAGTATTTAAAAGCAACCCATTTAACAATGCCAAACAATTTCATAACATAGCACTAGGTATAGGAGCCAAGTTTCAGGACATGGTTAGAGTGCTGAACTTTTTCTATCAGCTACTATCCCCAGCTGTTATTATCCTTACGTTTGTTTTGCCTTTTGGTGCTGTCTCCTTAACACAATACTTTTTTCTGGTGGTTGTGGACTGGGAAGCAGTCAGAAGTGTTCTAGGAGTTGGAGGAGGCTGTGAGAAATGGGAGGAGCTTCTCACTCCTTCAGCATTTTGCAACCTGAAGCTCTTAGAACTTTGTTAGGAGTTCTGAAATGAAGCAAGAGTAATGATCTTTACAGTAACACCATTATATACTTACACATATCATACACATAGTATAAAAATCATTCTTATAATGTGTGTAGCCAATAGTCATTAGTAAAGTAGCAAATATGGATAAATTAAAAGAAGTTAAAATTATCCCTAAGCCCTATGCATAGAGATAGTTATTACCAACATGGACATTTTGGTGTATCTTTCCAGATATTTGTATGTATACACATATACACACATGAACAAAAAGGTATAATTTCCAACTTGATTTTTCACTTTCCAGTATGACAATACCTTTTTATTATTTATTTATTTACACCCAAGTTAGTTAGCATATAGTACAACAATGATTTCAAGAGTAGAGTCCAGTGATTCATCCTCTATATATACACCCAGTGCTCATCCCAACAAATGCCTTCCTTAATACTCCCTGCCCATTTAACCCATCCCCCTCTCACAACCCCTCCAACAATCCCCTGTTTGTTCTCTGTATTTAAGAGTCTTACTTATGTTTTGTCACCCTACTTGTTTTTATCTTATTTTTCTCCCCTTCCCTTATGTTCATCTGTTTTGTTTCTTAAATTCCTCATATGAGTGTATTGATATGACATTTGTTTTTCTCTGACTAATTTTGTGTATAGCATGACTATAATGACTGCATGAATTCTATTTAGTTGATGGGTTAGTTATCTAACAAAATTTCATTTCTGTGTGTTAGGCACTATTTCTGGCATATGACTGTACCCAGATTAATGAAACAATTATGTCTCCAATCTCATGAAATTTACATTCCTGCTCTGGCCTGGATTTTTTAGACTTGAAAACATCTGAATCCAAGCATACTATGCTCATATGTTCCTAGATTGCTTACCCTGCCCAGGCCTATATCTCTTCTTGATGTTTTTGCCTGTGTGTACACTGGCTTAGATAAACCTAGTTCGACTTCCAAAATTTTCTTGTCTATTGCCCTGTCTTTGGCTTGGCTAACTTATTTTTTTAAATTAAAAACGTTTTTTAATTTTGGAGAATTTACTTTTGCTTACAACCTCAGTTACTAGCACTAATGTTAATTAGGAAGACTACATCAAGGGGTTACAAAGCCTTGTGTATGTTGGATATAGTCTAAATAATGAGGGGAAAGGACTCTGTTCTTCAACCAACAAGACCAGTGAGTCTTAACGACTTTGAGACTTTTTACAAAATAAATTCGTTCAAAAAGTATTTATTGAATAACTCCCAGGTACCAGACACTTTCTAAATGTTACAGACACAGCAATGAACAAAAGAGATAATACTCCCTGCCCTTAAGAGCTTACTTTCTAGTGGAAGGAGTCAGATAAGCAGTTAATAAAACAAAATAACAAGAATAGTTGCTGGTGGTAATGGAGAAAAATAAAGCAGAAAAATGAGCTCTGGAGTGTAGGAGTGAAGGACAGTTTGATCATTTAAAATAGGGTATTTAGAAAACATGATTTTCCTGAAAATTCTCAAACTGAGTTGGGTCATGATAAAAGGCTTTCTGTGACACAGGTGGGCACAGGATCTTTAAAGAATGGAATCCTGGGAAAGGCTGAGATTTTTCAGGTCTAAGGATGGAATTTCATTCATAGACTGACACCTGAAAACTCTAGCTAAATGAAGTGATCTTAGTGTTAGAAAACAAATAGAGTAAACTGAATTAAACCACATGTAACAGAATATTAGTCTAGAAGACTAATGGATGGTGTCAAGAAGGAAGTTAAGTGCAGGAATTAAGGTACCAGAAAAAGATAGTTAAGTCTTTGTCAAAAGAAGTTGATTCTTATCATATATAGTTCATGTTTGGTTTTTACTATAGAAAGAGGATATATGCCTGAAAGAGCCTTTATGATTTGTATAATCCTAAATTTGTATAAATTTGTATAAAATTTATATAAAATTTGGATAAAAAGCCTGAGGCATTTCCAACTGAATTATTTCTACTGAAACACAGACCATCTATCACTGCATTTATATAAGCATAGTTTATGAATTTTTTATTTTATGTATAATTTTATACAGTAGTCCCCCTTATATGCAAGGGTTACATTCCAAGACCCCCGGTGGATGCTTGAAACTGTGGATAGCTCCCAACCCTAAAAGTACTATGTTTTTTCTCTAGATTGTACACTTAGGAAAAAGTCTTATTCACAAATTAGACACAATAAAAGATTAACAATAGCCAATTGTAAAATAAAACAATTATAATAATATACTGTAATAAAAGTGATGTGAATGTGGTATAAAAAAAAAAAGGCTTTCTGTGTCTAATAAATAGAGCAACTCCGTGACAAGAGTAAAATACACAACAAAGACAATGATTAATGACCCAAGGAAAAAAAGAGCTAAAAAAAAAAAAAAAAAGGTAAGTTGTCTCCTTGATAATTGGGTCACAAATGTTGTAACTAGCCTGTTAAAAATTCTCCAGTCTTAGGGGTGCCTGGGTAGCCCAGATGGTTGAGCATCTGACTTCAGCTCAAGTCATGATCTCATGGTTTGTGGGTTTGAGCCCTGTGTTGGGCTCTGTGCAGACAGCTTGCTCAGAGACGAGCCTACTTCAGATTCTGTGTCTTCTCTCTCTACCTCTCCCCCACTTGCACTCTGTCTCTGTCTCTTAAAAGTAACTAAATGTTTTAAAAAATTAAAAAGAAAAAGAATTCTCCAATTTTATCTCCATTATCCCTTATTTAGTTAATTATGATCTCAATAGAAGCCTTGAAAGTAATAATTGTGCCTGACAGAGTAAACAAAATATCCAGGTATGCTAGGAAATGTTCGAACTGTGTGAATGCTTGAAAGTATGAACATTTCAAAATCTACAGTACTCCTTAAGCTTTTATGTATGTATGGAATACTTAGAGCTTCTTTTTCTTTAATTTTAATTAATTAATTTTTAAATTTACACCCAAGTTACTTAGCATGTAGTGCAACAATGATTTCAGGAGTAGATTCCTTAATGCTCCTTACCCATTTAGCCCATCCCCCAACCCACAACCCTTCCCGTAACCCTCTGTTTGTTCTCTGTATTTAAGAGTCTCTTATGTTTCGTCCCCCTCCCTGTTTTTATATTATTTTCGCTTCCCTTCCCTTAGAGATCTTCTTACCAGTGAAGATACGAATTTAATAGCTATGGGATAGGCCTGAAGCTATTTTTAACAAGCTTCCGGGTAAAGTCAATGTTGCAGGTCCTTGGATTACATTTGAGTTACAAGGATCTACTATGTTTTGCCAAGTTGTCTACCAGGAAACAGATACACTCCAATAGTATTTCACCTTTACAAAATGTTTTAACGTGTAAGCAACTTTCATAGAGATTAATTCATTTGATTAGTTTAGAGCCATAGGCATGATCATCCATCCTTGTTTTATGGACATGGGAACAGGCTTAGCTTGGCTACTAAGAAGTTTAAGAATAACCAGGAAGATAACAAGCATAAAACCTTGTTCCATAAGGAGCCACTGTAAAAACTTTTGATGTTAAGCCTGAGGATATACATAGTAATTCCCTTCAAAAAGCTGTTATATGGAAATGTTTATATATGTCTATTTTAGGTGGACATAAAAGTCTGTCTAGGACCAAATATATTAAAGTTACAGAAAAGGTGAATTTGCCTCAACATAAGGAAGAACTTTTGGCTAACAATGGTGTATAAATATGGAATGGACTGTTTTATAAAGTAGCAAATTCCCTATCACACTAAGTATTCAAGCAGAAGTTAGGTAGCCACTTGTTAGAGGACGATAGGAGGATTCATGTAGGCAGAGTGTCAGAATGAAGTCAAGTTGCCACTAACTGTAATACTCTAGGGTCTGAGATCTGAGATTTTACCTTTATCAATTAGAATTCTATTATAGGTACGAAGTTGTTGAGAATATTTTATTTTTTTAAATTCAAAAGATGTTTTATTTATTTTTGAGAGAGAGAAAGAGAATGTGAGGGGGGCAAAGAGGGAGACAGAGGATCCAAAGTGGGCTCTGTGCTGAGAACAAACAGCCTGATACAGGGCTTGAACTCACAAACCGTGAGATCCTGACCTGAGCTGAAGTTGAAGGCTTAACTGACTGAACCACCCAGGTGCCCTGAGAAGATTTTAGATTGAATTTGCAAGTATGATTGAGGATGTTGGCACTACATTCACCCATCCACATAGTTTGGGCCTTGCAGTCACTCCCCTGAGCTATTTCTGGAAGAGTCTAAACTCCCTCAATTATGGCTACTGCTATGAGAACAAGGTATACATCATCTGTGGTATCTCTTCTTCCTCAATTTTAACTTTCTCTTCTATGTTTCAACAGAAGATTTCTTCTTAAAACCATGTCTCTTAGGAAACACAATAAGCCACCTAGACCTAACAGACACATACAGGATACTCCACCCAACAAAAATAGCATACATGTTTTTTACAAGTGCACATGGGACATTTTTCAGAACAGAGTGTATGTTAGGCAC